TTACATAATATATGTGTTACAAATTGAAAAAACTTATTATGTAATTTTAATAATATGTTATATTATGACTTAAAATGAGGCGAATCACAATACTTTAATAAATATACACCTAAGTAAAAGTACACATTAAAAAAATAGCGAAAACGCACAAAATTTGCCAAAAAACTACTCAAATACAGTAACGCGAGTAAATTTAGCTCGTTGCTTTCCATCTCCAATATTCAATGTACTCAATTTAATGTATTTTTAATACCAGAATGTCTGGTATTCAAAATACACAATTAAGTCTAATGTCTAGAGCAAGAAACAAACTGTTAAAAGGTGATTGTTTTTTTTTACAAAGATGTTATTGAGAATGTTTTAAAAACGTGGTTGCATCTTAAAGAGATTAGTTACAAGTTAAAGGGACAACTCAAAAAGCGTGAATTTCATAAGTACGAACGAGCAACTAGCATAAGTACAAATGGCGTAAGTGCAAACTGGGGTAAAAGCAAACTGGTATAAATGCAAAGCAATTTCAAAAACTGGCTCAAGTGTGAACTGGCATAAGTTTGAAATGGAATAAGTACTCCAAAAGAATTTGCAAACATTGGCATAAACAAGAATTGACAAAAGTGCGAACTAGCATAATTGCGAAGCAGTTGCAAAAACTGGCATAAATGCGAATCGGCATAAGTGCGATCTGGCATAAGTGCGAAATGCCAATTTGCACTTATGTTAATATAGGCAACTTTATTCTGTGCACTTATGCCAATTGGTACTTTTTCCAGTTCGCACTTAAGCCCAATCCAATGTTTGCAAATTTATTCGGCGCGCTTATTCTAGTTCGCACTTATGCCAATTCGCACTTATTCAAGTTTTTGTAACAGCATTGCACTTGTGCCAGTTCACAATCACACAAGTGTTAGCAAATGTTTTTGGCGCACTTATACCAAATTGCATTTACGCCAGTTTGCATTTGTGCCAGTTTTTACAACACATTGACATATAGACCCTCATTACCCCACCAAAAAATGTTGCTTATTTTAGAAATCTATGCATCTTTCCGTCTTCGAACTAATTGAACCTACTTATCTGGTAATTTTTCTTCTAGATAAAACATTTTTTATATGTTAGAACTCGTTTTTAACACACTTTTTCTGAGGTTTAAGGCATTTGATAAAAATCTCTCTTTAAATGTATGCCATTTTAAATTAAAAATATATTAAATAATTTGCCTATTAAAATTGAGAGCTGTTTTAACAACCTATAACACACAGAAAAAAAACTTGCACCTAAAACCTTTCTTGTAAAAAACTGATAAATGTTAATTAGACCCATAGTACCCCTTAGTCCCAAATTACCCCTTCCTACCCTTTACAATCCATCTCCATCCATTTTAAGACATCTTATGCTTTTTTAAGAGGGATCTATATCTTTCAAACTAGATCTTGTATTTAAAAATTATGTTTCTTTTGTTTTTAAAATGTTAAAATTTTAGGTTTTAAATCTTTCAAAAAGTTGTTATCAATTCTAATAACAATAAATAAAATAGTTCGTAAGGTAATTATCATCAGGCATTTGTCTCAACAATATAATTTTGATAATTTAAAAAATAAAATTTTTCTGCATTTAAAATCTTTGGGTTTATACAAAAAAGTCAATAACCTTTTTGATTTTATTCTGATTTAAGAAAATCTAAGTTGAGTATCTAGATGTGCAGTAGAATAACTTAAAGTTTTATTTCAAACAAATAAAGCGATTTGGAGCATTTTGAAATGTGATCAATTTGAAGTATGATCAATTTGAATTTGCAGTACAAACAGTTTTTTCGGATGCAATTCTAAAAAGAATGAATTCAGTGTGAAAAGCTCTCCAAGATCTTAAAAAAAATATTAGATACATATTGTTTACTTACATTCAGAATTTAAAAAACAACTCTAACGATTCTGAAGTTGAAGCTAAAGTTTTACTTTCTGATACAAAACATTCCAATTGAAAATATGAAATAAAGAAAAAATTCTTTGATGATCCAAACCATGAAAAATGTGTTAAAATAATTCTAAAAGAATGGTTTCGGAAAGATGTTTTTATCAAAGTCGTCAATGCAATTCACTCATATTTGAATAAAAGGATGATTGTATAATAAAAATTTAACATAACTTTTGGATTTTTGATTAATGTAAACATCAATAATGCGAAGAAAAATGTTCGATCAACAAAGAAATCGATAAACGAAGAAATTATTGAACAATATCGTGAAAATATCGATATATCATTGTTTGATAAAACTTTGCAATTTCATAACTTTATCAAAGCTTTTCCTTCCACTGGTGTTTCGCATCAAAACTCTCAAACCTAAGACATCGCTACTCGATGTTATTCCAACAAGTCCAAATAGAGCTTAACTCCCCGACCTCTCATTCAAATCTGGAATTTCACAATCTCATTCAAGGTTGCTCAAATTAGACCAACTCTCAAGAAATAAGGAAAACAGTTTTAAAACTCACTGATTTGCGCCCCATATCAAATCTCTACATGTAACTTTAACTGTAACTTCAATCTTTTTCAATCAGATTTTAGGCCTAATCCCTCAACAGAAACAGCACTCCTAAAGATATGCAATGACATCCTATTAAACATTGATGATGCTTTAACCATAATTCTTTGGACATATCTGCATCGTTTGATACAATTGATCACAACCTGCCCACTGCGCGTATAATAAATGAATTTGGTGTCACTTTGACTAAAACTTTGATTGTACTAAAATGAATAAAATCATACTTTCATTTCGAAAATCTTTTGTTTCTAAGGGCAACAACAAAATCTAAATTGTCAACGATTTTAACAGGAGTACCACAAAGAAGTGTATTAGGCCAATTTTTTTTTTTTTTTTTTTGATATTTGTTTCACCCGTATATCGTATTATAGCTAAACATGGTACAAATCATCATCAATATACCGATGATACCCATTTAGATACTTTCATTAACCCAGGAAAAGATAACATTAACAAAAGTGCTAATGCAGTCACAAAATGGTATTTAATAATTGGACTGAAAATGAGATAAACTTCTGTTTTGCTTGGGTTAAGCAGAATGAAAAATTCTGCTTGACCCAAGCAAAACAGTTGCTATCTTATTTGAATCAAAGAAACAAACTGGAAAATTTAAAAATGATTCCAAAATTACGTTCTCTGAAATAACAAAAGCTGTGAAAATTTTAGGTGTCGCCCAAGATTCAACTTTCTCCTTAGACCATCATATAAACAACACTGTTAAACCCTGCAACTACCATATTTGTGCTCTTCGCCACATACGTCAATGTCTCACCAAAAAAGCAGCTAACACAATTGCTAGTGGCATTCTTAACTCTCAACTAGACTGTTGTAACAGTCTTTTAAGAGGTACTTAGAAAATCTTCTAAAAAAATTAAATCATCTACCATAATTTTTTAGTCAGTTTTGATAACATTTTAGGTTGTCCACCAATTAAAACTTACCTAGAAACGCTCTTAGTTATAGCCTAAAAATCTTAAAAAACTCTAACACACTCGAAATAGCTTATCTCGCATTGTCTCTCATTCTCCTTTCCATTTAAAAACAAAACATTGCTAAAAACTCTTCATTGGTTACTAATCCATCAAGGAATAGTTTATAAATTATCAGTTATTACATATAAAACTTTAAATACAAATCTTCTTCATAGCTATTTAAACTTTTAAAAACCCGAATTTCAAATCAAAACACAAGATCATCAGACAGTGGCTAACTTAATCGTCGCCTATCAAAAACTTCACCAAGAATAAAATCTTACTCCATGATTGCATCTCAATTATGGAATGTCTACAAATACACTTAACTCAACGACTTTAAAAACTAAAAAAAAAGACTAAAATACGAACTTTTTGTAGACGCTTTCAAGAACTTATAGTGAACATTCTCAGTGCTTCATAATTTTCCTTGTGAATGATTTCTACAATTTCTCTAAGTAGGATCGTCAAAAGTAAAAAATATTTTAGAGTACACAATGTCAAGACAATCATATCTTTTTTTTTCATGGTTAGATAACGTGAATAAAAATTAAATGAAACGTTTTAAAGCTATTTTTAGAGTTTTTGTCATTTATTTACAACTTATACAAATTTGAGTCTATAAACTTTATAAATATCAAAAAAGTGTCAAAACTCCAGTTAATGCTGAGCCTAAATTCATTCAATGTAATTCCAAAATAACATTCTTTAATGCTATTTGATAACTCTGCAAAGCTGATATTTTTGTTTTATTTGACGTAATTTAAAAAAGTAATTTACATATTCTTTAACATCTCATTCAAATGAGGTTTGAAAAAGATTATTTATAAAAAATATTAATTTTATTATTAGGTAGCTTTTAGTTGAAAGCTTGCTTCCCTAGGCGGACGTCTTGTTTGCTTAGTGATTAAACCGGCCCTGCTTAAAACTATTACTTAAAAAATGATAATAAACAATAAATTTACTATTTATAGTCTCCAATACAAAAATGAAAATTGAAAAACACAATTTTCATTTTTTAGATATGTATATAAACATTTAATTGTAAAAACTGCATTTTTACATTATTTATTTTTGTACTTGTCTGGCGCCCTGTTTGAACGATTAGTGGTTCCAATGACAAAACTTCTGTTCTGTTAATAAAATATAATATAAGGCAGTCTGATCTCTGTTTTATGAGTACCTAATCAACTTGATATTTATGTATTTATTTTTTATTATATTTATCTTATTCAAGCGCCACGAATTTACAGTTATAAAATCGTTTAGTCAATTTAAAAAGCTGTTGTTTGGGTCTCTGGTTTTTTCTTAAAATAATAAAAACATGAAGAGTTAAAGAACTTATTAATACGCAAAAATCCTGCACATTTTATGACTCTCCACTTTTCTTTGTTATTTTAACAAACAAACAAAAACAAGTAAATAAGTGTCCTGTGATTAACCTTGTCCGAACAACATTTTCAAAGGAAAGTATTTCTTACACGTCTTCTAGGAAGAGTATTTTGCAGAATGAACAGATCGTGACCTAATTTTTTTCAATGGAGCTAATTTGAAGTACACATTAAAAAAAATAAAAAAATCAACATGCCTTCTGCAAAGCCAAGAGCAACTGCTAATTCTACTGAAACTGTCAGTGTAAATGTGAATGAAAAAATACTTAGAGAATGTCACGCATTATATACAGAAAAAGAAAAAGGTTAATAGTTTTTATAAATATAAATAAACTTGCTTTTTTTCTATTGTATATTATAATTTTCATTCTGGTCCTAACACATGGGTTGATTGCACCAAAATATAAAATTATTTATTTATCCATAAATAAAAATATCCATTATTTGATAATAAAATATTGTCACAGATATCTTGTTTCTTGTGTTCAAAAGCTATAATATAGTATAAGTATGATACAGAAGAAAAGTTTAATTAAAACCTATATTTGTCAACAAAACTACAATAATAACAATTTAGTCACATTTCTTTAATGAAATCAATTAGTTTAGTTACAAAAGTTGTGCAAAACTATTTTATTCCAAAATACTGTTGATTAGAAAAATTATTTTTTCAGTGCATCGTAAAAGAAAAAAGAAAAAATTGAATTTGTAATAATTATTTTTGTTATTATCATTATCAGTGCATCATTGACAGAACTATCTGCTTTTGCCACATTAATAATGATGTTGCCTTCTTTGTTTAAAAAAATCTGCTTCTTTACCTGGTTGTCTGCCAGATCAGGGAAAAGTCTGGGAATTCAGATATAAACAAAAAAAAATCAAGGAATAATCAGAGAAATTAAGTAAAAATATGGAAAAATTCAGCGATAATGGCTCTTAATTATGTTAATGTAACTGAAGTAAGTTTTATGCTGTATACATGATATAAAATTTTATTTGAAGATTATTAGAAGAGAAATGCATGTATCTAAAATTTAGAAGAGAAATGCATGTATCTGAACTTGTTCATTCTATTATAACTAGAATTGTTCTCCAGTCTTTTACAACCTATTTGGAGATCGTACCAAGGGGGAAACTTATAAAGAGATCTGCTCTCATAATAAAATTGGTCTGAGACAATTTTTGTTAATTTTTGTTTGTTATTATTGTTTTGTTATAACTGGTCTATTTTGTGGGACTTGTTGCAATAAAATGCTATTCTGCACGTATTCCATGGTCTTGAAAATGATGACATAGATTGCTAAGAGTTTTATAGTTTTTGTATTGGCTAGCTGCTCCATTACTAAAGTAATAAGATAAGGTCAAATTTGGTACAACAGTTTTTATATCTTCTAAAACTCTAGCTAAAAATGCATTAACAGCAATAACATCGTGCTGCATACAGTCAGATATTATGCGATAGTTTATTGGCTTGAGTTTATTTTCAAAATCTTTTAATATATAATGAATGGATGTAGTGTTGCTTAGCTATTATTCCAATGAAATCCTTGGACTGCGTCTTGTGCTATAAAACTATAATTTTCTGCAAAATCAAACAAAATAATAAATTGGTTTTGTTGAAAATTTTCTTTCAGAATTTGAAGAGATAAGTTTTGTCAGCTTCGTCTTGACTGTGCCTTTTAAATAAAATGATATAAACTGGTATAAGATATTGAATAGTAGTTGATCAAATTCAGAGTTTGAATTAGTTTGAGAGATTGAACTGATACAAAATAATAAAAATTACAAAAAAAATATATAATATAAAAAAAAAACATTAAAATAACAAAAAATACTCAAGAAGCGGAAGAAGGATCGATTAGTTAAACTATTGTAAATAAAGCTATTAACTTAATGGCACTGTATTCAGCTCTTATCGAGTATACAAAAGAAAATATAGTAGTATAATAGTGGATCAGTAAAAAATCTGGGTCTCTATTAAATCTCTATTAAAAGATTGTCAGACACCCTGTTTAGGTTTTTATTTAATGAAAATGTATTGAAGCTTTTTACTGGTTGTGTCTAGATCATATCCTACTCAAAATTTTATTATATTAGTATTTTGCCGAACAACAACATTGTGGCATAATGCTTTTCCAAACCAAATTCCTCAGTCATTAATTGTTCAATCCACTGCCGTTATCCCTAAATCAGTTGTTATGTATACACTCCACTGTGCTTATTTCTAAATTTGTCAGTATATGATACCTTTACTTAAGTTGTCAAACTTATTGCGATTGGAATATAACTAGAATTCAACCCTATTTTCTCAAGTTTTTGAAGTCTTTATAAAATTTTCTAATTCCTTTTGGTATTCGAGGCAAAATAAATTATGTCATTCAAAATCTTATTAAATAGTATAAATTTCCTGAAATATTAGGTGTCTTAAAAATTGTTATTCTATGCAAAAGTCTAGTATATAATAAATTTTTTTAACAAAGTTGTTAAATAAAATAATTTATTTAGGTTCAGCAAACCAGCTGTAACATAGTTACAGTTAGTTTGCTGAATTTAAATGTGTTTTAGCCTTGAAGATGAACCACATCCAGTTAAAATTTAAACTATGCTATAACATCTAAAATCATTTCAATTTACATTATATAATGTAAGGATAGTTAAAATATTTAAAAAACTGTATTTATCAAGGTTCAATTAAAAGTTGGGTTTTATTTTTCATGAGGAGTTATTTATAAAAAAGACTAGTTAAAGCAAAATAATTTAGATTTTTAAAATTTTTTAATAACTGTTTATAATATTTGATTCATTGCATACTCCCGAAGGAAATATAGTAAATTTTAACTTTTTTACATAATGAATTAGTTTGCAAATAAAAAGAAAACAATTATTTTTTAAGAAATGCTGTGAAACCATTTTACATTTTTTTTAAAATTAAAGTTTTAATTTTCAAAATCATATTTGAAACTGTTTAAAATAAAAAATTGTTTAATTATAAAAAAACCATTGAAAATGCAATTTGTCTGTAAAATATGTACTGTGTAACGCTTCTTACCAAGGCTTCTCTTTTTTCAAAAGCTTCCTCTAAAATCCTCTATTATTATTTTTTATTATTTTATTTTTTAATTGTTGTATAATGTTCAAAATTCATGGTCTGCAGAACTGCTCAATGTCTGAAATGAGGATTCGATTGTAAAAAATCATTTTTAGCAAGTCCGTGTCTCTTGCAGTTTTGCAAAAAAATCCTCTAAATTAAATACAAAATCTCTAAAATCCTCTTTTTTTTTAAAAAAAAAAAACTTTATATGGCCACCCTGGTTTAAGACCTTTAAGTATTTTTAAATGTTTTAAGATCACCGGGTAAAACAAACCACTTTTAAAAATCCATTCAATATTATTATTATTATTTTTATTTTTTTTGAGTATTTGAAGTGGGGGGGGGGGGGGGGGTAGAGGGAAATTTCACAACCAGTACCACCTAAACTGTTACTAAGTACAGCACCGTTATGACCATAGTTTTTTAGAATTACGATCGCTTATAATTTTTTATTATAGAAAGGAAAAATATTTATGTCTGAATACAAGTTTTTTTGATCGGTGAAGTAAAATCATTTACATGGTGCTGATATATAGTTAATAATTCTTTTACTTGAAAAGTAAAAAAGTTATCTTTGAAAAGATTACATGAAAAGTATGGAACTTCTTTTCATATAATCAAAGTTCAAAATGTTGTATGCTGATACTATTCTAAATAAGGATATATTTTTCAAATAATTATTTTATTCAAGGAGGTAAAGAAAAAAACTAAATTACCTATATGTAAAGAAAATATGTAGTTGAAAAAAGAATTTATTTCAAAAATACTATTTTATAGTATGTTAACAATACGTATGCCATATACCATATTGTTTCATCACCTTATGATGAGATTTTGTTGTGTAATGAAAATGCAAGAAAACGTAACATTACCTAAATAACTATATTTACATTGTTAAAATTTAAATAATTTTTGTTTCACAGAACCGTGAAACAGTAATGACTTTAAATCATTTAAAGTCTTTATCTTTATAAAATATTAATGAGGTACCTTTAATTTAAACAATATTGTTGTTAAAAAAAATTATAAATATTTAAATGTTTGAAAAAAAAGAAATTATTTAAAAAAACTTATACTATTTATTTCTTAAAACATATATTATAAAACACACAACATTTTGCTTTTTATTATAAAACACACAACATTTTGCTTTTTATTATAAAACACACAACATTTTGCTTTTGCTTTCTCGCGAATTAGTTTTTTTTTATTTAAGAAAAGTTTTTCAAGAAGATTTTTATAAACTGTTTATAGCTAAACTTCTGAACAGTCAAAAAAAAAAAAAAATTAAGATGCATATATATTATATCAAAGCAATGCATTTATACACTGCATTAAGCATTTTTGTATATTATCACTTTTTTTTTTTTTTTTTTTTTTTTATTTTACTTCACCTCCTCAAGGCCGAGAAGGCCACTACAGACGAGGAGGCTACTTATTTTGTGGCTATAACCCTCTCTTAACTCTATAACTCCGAAACACGAACCTTGACGAACAAGGCCGCTGCGCGGAGAAACGAGTTGAGCGCGGTACTACCAGGGACGTGGTGGGGATCGAACTCGGAACCACTCGTTTATGATGCGAGCGCTCTACCACTACACCACTACCGCATAATTTTGTTACAGCAGTAACAGTTCAAAACTTGTTATTTATTTGATGTTGATGCCATAGCTATATATATAAAAAAAAGATCCTTATACTGACAAAAGGACTTCTAAATATAAAAAAAAAATTAAGTCTGGTGGTAAGGAAGGGAGGGGGGAGGGAAGGGGATAGACCCTTGACAACGGGATTAAAATAAAAATTCAAATGGCATAACGCTTTTTAACAAGGCCTGGTGTTTATATATTTTATAAAAATGCATCCTCCCCTGCTTTTGGAGGTTGTATGAATTTCATCTGAAATTTAAACATGCTGATAAACTTTTAAATATTGAATGGAAAAAAAAAAAATTTCTAATATCTTTTTTTTTAAAGGTAAAATTTTTATTAATTTAAACAGGTTTACTTTTTTTCCTGGATTTAAGTTTGCTAGTTTTGGAAAAATGTCCATATTTGAGATCAGTATAAATCAACAGAAGTTTAAATTTTATGACAAAGGTTTCAATTAAAGTTACTTTTCTCAAAAATTAAATATGGATAAATTTTGATCTACCCTTCTAACAGGCGTTTCTTTAGGGCATACCTTGTCTCTATACATTATTGTTCTGTGTTAATTGTATTTGTATAGTTTTTTTTTAAATTTTAGTTTTTAGGTGAGTTGCTTATGGGAAATTGAGAGCCCCTTCTCCTTTTTGATTAAAATATTATGACTACATTAACCATATTGAAAACTTAATGTTTTAAAAATTGATTGCACATTATATTTATTAGGTCTGATCAAAATTGCAGAATCTGTTGGAGTTGGGTTGTTAGCGCCTCGTAAAAAGATCACTATTATGCTTATGGGAAATCACTCTGCTGGCAAGAGTTCCTTTGTAAATTGGTATGTTAAACTAACTATAATTAAATGACAGTTTATAGTTCCTTTTTAATTTTTGCAATTTTTTTTTAAGGACTTGAAAACCATCTTTTTATAGTGAAAATGCTTGATACAATATTTATGTTTAGAAAAATTTTTTTTTAACTATACGAGTATGAAACTTTATCCAAGTACTTAACTTGTTTTCAAGACTAATTCTCAATAGAACTTACAGGTTCTCGTACTTTTTTCCCCAAAAAGATTGTGAAAAAAAAAATTTTTAAACTTTAATATAAGCTTTACTACACCGTTATATGCATCTTGAATTCATAATCTTTCTCTGTAGTATGCTAGAGCAGGGTTGCCACCTAACCTGGAATACCTGAAAATAGCATGAATCCCAGGAAAAACCTGGGGTTTTTTAAAATTTTCATAAAACTCAGGGAAAATAATTATTTTTTCGAAATTTTGTACAATAATTTTTTTTTTCAAAAATATTTTACTAATTCATAAAATAATAAGTTTTCTAGATGTGGGTGTTGTTTTAAAATTTTTAGTTAGTTAAATATAAAAATTGTGTTTAATTAAGGAAAATAATAATCTTGTTGATAAACAGGAAAGAATATAGAAAAGTCAGGGAAAACTCAGGGAATTTAAAGAGTTCAACTCAGGGGAAAACGTTCTTTACTCAGGAAAAACTCAGGGAAAAATGTTAAAAATTATAGTGGCAACCCTGTAGAAAATAAATAACATAACTACATAGGAAGTGAGCAGTAATTCTTTGAAATTAGAACACATAAGTTTATTAACTTTTAATGCATTAAATGACCATTAGATAGTATGTTAAGTATCTCATTTTCATATATTGAGTGTGTAAACCTAGATTTTTTTTATTTCTGTAAATAAATTTGGCTAATTAATACACTGTGTAAATTTATTAGTAAGACCCAAAAATAATAGTTCAAAGTGGCTGAATCGTATAATCTAACAAGACAAGAAATCATCAGTTATTTTGAGTTAATTCTGAAAATGCAAAAGCTCTAATCAAATATATAAGAAATCAAAGCCCTAATCAAACATACAAGAAGCAATATTAGTTTGAATGAAAACACAGACTCTACTCAATATATAAAATGTTAGGAATGAATTTGGAGATTTTTAAGCTGCAGAAACATGGCAGAACTGTTTGAATTAGATTTATAAAAGCTTATTTTCCAACTTATATGCATACAAAATCTCTATGCCTACTAATTTTTAACACTGTGCCAGTATCTGTCACAGAAGGTGAACCACTTTGAGTAAACTAAAATTTATTAAATAAAAGATACAAGGTCACTATAGAACAAGAAAGTCTATAATACACTTAAGTTGAAAATAAATTGGATACATCTCACCGTAAGTTGACACAATAATAATAATTTTTGCTTTTAAAAAAGCCAGGTAATTTAAAGTAATTTTAAAGAACCTGTCTAATAATCCTAATCAGTGAATGTCAAATGTATTTTAATCAAAATAGATTTTTACTTAATGAAAAAGATTATCTTGTTAAATCAGCACTAAAAATAGTAAAAGTTATTTTTGTGTAAATAATAAAAAATAATGACTTTCTAGAGATTTTTCTGAAACAAGTGATAGATATAAAGAAAGAATTGCTAATGATTTCGTACATCCAACAAAAAATATTAAATTAATAGGGTTTTATTAGCAGCAAAAAGAACAACGTCAGGGTGTATATATTGTCAGGAATATATTTTATACTGCATTTTGCAATATTGTGGTTTTTATTTATGTCTTTAATTTAGTTAGATATTTTCCTATTACTAGCAAAAAGTTAGGTCATTGAACTGTGGTAATTTTAAAGCAATTTGAAATCTTGCATACGCTATAGCAGTGTATAAAAAACATTAGCATACACGCACACACAGTATACATGATGTCATTGGGCTGGCTAACAATCTCATTTAATAATAATAACATTAGTATGTTTAGTAGTTTACTAATGAGTATTAGTAATTGATTGGTAAGATCATTGAAAAACTTCTAATAAATCACAGCCAAATGAAAATCAATGAGGAAGCCATAATATAAATTCATATGCAAGGTCCAGATTATAGATATTTTTATAGAAGAACCAGATAAATACCCAGCACAGGTCTTTTTAAGTAGCTTTATGCTGCTTGTATTTTATGTACAAAATAGGGATTTGTGTAGGCGTTTAGCAATTTTTCATTGGGGATATTTTTACATATGGGGATTTTACATTGGGGACAATTTTACATATGGGGATCCCCAAGTCTCCAGTAAGTTGTGTTCATATTAACAAGAATCTTAAAAAAAAATGTTTTGGCTGAATTTTTTTGATTAAAACAAAATAATAAATGTATACCTCGAAAAACTAACTTTGTAGTTTAGGCAAAGTTTACCTTTTCCATTTTAGTTAAATTTCAGTTTTTTAAACTATACAGTATATGATACATATACTATATAATATATGGTATGTCCTAAAAACTTGTTGCATATTTGAAGACAGTTTGGCAATTTTGTTAGTTAATACAAAAATTAAAAAACTAGTATATAAGAATAGATATTTATTACCAAGAATAAATATATACAGTGCTCAACTAGATATAAAGTTTATACAGGCTTGTGCTTATTTATCAGGTTAATAATCAAGGCAAATTGTGATAGATCAAATGAATTTTTGCTAAACCAATTTTTTTACTAATTAAGCTAAATAATGGAAGTTCATTGTAAAGTGCATTTTTTTTACCTATAAAATTTAGCTTGCAGAATTAGGGTCGGCATTTGGCAATGCCATCAATTGCCAAATTGATAATATTTAAGGTAATCAATTTTTTGCCTACCTAAGAATTTTGAAACTTAATTTTATTTGCTATTTTCAAATAAATTAAAAATGGCAAAATGAATGCTTTATTTAAATTCCTAAATAATTAAATTAAAAAAGAAAAAAATAGCGTTTTTATTTTCATTATTGATTAAAATTATTTTAAAAAAAACCTACCAAAACAAACGTGTTTAAATTCTAAAATAAAATATTTATAATCAAAATAAAAAGGATATTTAGTTTTTAAATAAAACAAAAATTATTTAAATTAAGTTCTTAAGTAATTAAGAATTATTTAATTAGTAATTTAATTTATTTAATTAATATTTAATACAAAAAAATAACCCTGTAAGCAATAGCTTCTTTAAGATGTATAAAGAACGTATTAACACATATTGCTATGTGTTTTAGGTGTCTTAAACATGTCTTGTGCCCATTAGGAAATGTTATTTCCTAATAGGCACAATATTGTTAAAACTAAAATAAAAGCGTTTTATTTAAATAGTAAAAAAAAAAAAAAAAAAAAAAGCAGAATAAAGATTTTTTTTTTAATTCCTAAACAAATTTAAATGTTAAAATTAAAACAATAAATTAAAAAAACAAAACAAGCTGAATGTTTTGTTTAAATTCTGAATATATAACTAGAAGAAAATAGAAAAAACATTTTTAGTTTAATTCTTAAATAAATTACACAAAAAATACCGACCTAAAACAGTTTTAGGTCTGCAATTTTTGCAAACATTTTTTTTTTTTTTTTACCTTATTCCTAGGGCTGAAAATTATTTTTCTGTAAACTTTTTGTTCATATGCCTTCCTTCAGGTATGTTGAAGAACATATTCAAAAAACTGGAGTTGCTATAGAAACCCAAGGATTTACTATTGTCACAAGTGGAAAAAAAAGAGAATCTCTTTTAGTAAGCATTTTATAGTTTATAATATTTTAGGAATTTTTTTTTCATTCGGATTTCTAATAAATATGTTTATTATTCAGGGAAATGCATCCTTTCACTTGTTTCCCCACTTAAAACCATTGCAAGATATTGAAGGTATTTTTTAATATTTAACATAAAAGTTTTGCTTTCAAAAAATTACAATGCAGTGTTTATTGGAAATTTTTGTTATTTACGTGCAAAATTTATGTTTTATCTATGCATGAAGCCATTTTCATTATGCATGAAGCCATTTTCATTATGCCAAAACATAGAATAATTAAATAACCTTTAGATTATTGTTCATGTTACTTATTTAGAAAAAATTTTGTGTTGTAAATAACTAAATTAAAAAACTTAAAATTGCAATTGTGAAATAATTTAGTTTTGATTTAATTCAATGTTTTTTTTTGTGTGAAAAAAACATTGAATTAAATCAAAACTATATTATTTCAAAAATAATTACAAAACTGTTTTTTTTTTCCTTTTTTTTTTTTTTCGAAAATATCTAAACCGTGTGCAAGAAGAAAAAACAATTGTGTTTTTAAGTTTAAATTTTTTGTGAACTTTAAGTTTATTCAATTTAAAGTTAATGCTTCTTTTGCATTCTTAAGCAAACTTTTGTTGTGTATTTTTGAATGTTTAGCTTCCAGTCAATGATTTTTTTTCATCTTGTTAGAAAAGTGCTTATGATTAATCATATAAGAAATGCTGGATCAACTATGAGTTTTGCCTGTAGACAATTTTTCTGAGAATGTAGTAATTAAACTTTCTTTATTATATAATCGAGCAATCATTTTTAGAGTGGAAACAGTAGAAAATCTTAATAAGCCATCCATTCTGAGAAAGTTGTCTTGATCTAGAATATCACAAAAATAATGAAAATAAAAAAAATAAATGTGTGTATATATATATATATTTATATATATATAAACACATTTATTTTTATTTATTTTTATTATTTTTTTCATTAATTTTTATTTTGCTTAGGTGTATCTGAATATGTAAGTACAGAAATTTCTACTTCAAAACAAAAAAAATTTAATATGGTGATGTTTGTCGATACTCCTGGATTAGTTGATGGTGATATGTTGTATCCTTTTGATGTGAACCAAGCTATCAAATTTTTAGGTTAAATTGAAATTAATATATTAGAAATTAAAATTAATTATTTAAATATTTGATTTAGTGTTTCTATTTTTTCTTGAATTTCTATTTTTAAAGGAAGTCTTTGCGATATGATATTTGTATTTTTTGATCCTATTGGACAAGCATTGTGTAAAAGAACTTTAAACATTGTGGGTAAGTAAAATATCTAAATTTTTTTTTATCTGAGCAAAAAAACTTCAAGCACATTTTTATATTATTATTGTATAATATAAACATTAGACTAATATAAATAAAATATGTTTTTTTCAGTTTTTAAGAAAGTTTCAATAACTTTAAAGTTGATGTAAATATGTTTAAGTAAATCAGTACATATCCTTTTTTATATATTTTTAGATCTTTTTAGTGATATATTTTAATATTTATAGTATATTATTTTAAACATTTAACATTTTGATGAAAATTTAGAACATTTGAATGAAAAGAAAAATGATAAAATTAGATTTTATCTGAGCAAAGCAGACACTGCAGGAACAGAGAGTGATCGACAACGTGTTTTGATGCAAATCACTCAAGAATTATGTAAACGGCCAGGTTTAAATAAATGTGGTTTTGATATGCCAACAATTTTTATTCCATCTCTAACTGAGAAGGTGACTTAAAATCAAAGCAATTTGCGTTTTTTAATTCATATATTCAAATAAATAGATAGTAGTAAAAAAAAAGTAAAATGTTATTTAATTAAAATATTTAAAAAAAAAAATTGTTTTGTATTAAAATTTTACATACTTTCTCAGGCTCCTCGCTGTGAAAATCAAATTGATTCTGTATGTAAAGAGATAGACAAAACCATCAATCAGACAATTCAAAATACACTCAACAAACTTGAAACTGATTGCAATACAGTTAGCAACAAAATTCTTAATATACTAGAAGAAGACAGGTTTATATTGTTAATTTATTTTGGAATTTTTTTGTCTCAAAAAAATATTTTTAGTTAAATAAAAAAATTGTTTTTTTTTATTTTTATTTTGTTTTTAATTTGCTTTAGAATTCAAGGTAATGCTAATATACGAGCTTCTGTTATCAGTTTTTTACTTCTACTCATGGCTACGTGTCTTGGTTTTTTCTTGTCACTCAGTTTCTTCTCATTAGACTTTTTACCTTACGAACCTATAAAATTATACTTAGTACGTTATAATAATTTATTATGTAATTTTTATTATTGCATTTGTTTGTTAGATTTATGTACATTAAGTATTGCATGCAAGTTGTTTTATGCAAATTTTATTTGAGTGTTATTATTTTATAACCTATGTATTTAGGTAGTTTTATTATAACCTATGTATTTATATAATTTTATAACCTTTGGATTATAGATTCCTGTGTCTAAGTTTTGGAACGAGTTTCCTAAAGAACATGAATTTCATACTCGCTTAGTGCTTGGTGTGTCATTAGCAGTTTTACTTATTGCATCTAAGCTTTTTTCAAGGTGAGGACAACTTATTTTTTCATTTAATTTTTATATACACTTTTTTTTAAGAGTATTTGTTTATATATATTTATATTTTTTAAGAGAGAGTTATTAAATATTTTCCTAAATTTTTTTTTCTTCTTTTTATTTATTTTCTTGTGGCGTTGGGAGAAAGGATTTAATAGTAATATTTCCTATATATAAAGAGGATGTCGTGAGTGCAAAATTCAAACTTCTTGAAGTCAACCGTCTATGACTAATCAACTTAAACGCTTCCATATATTTTCATTACAAACAACGTAATTAAAATTACAAATGTAGTCTTATACAAAACAGACCTAAAACTCCTATGGCAATTATAAGTAACAAAAAAAATGCACACTTTAAATTTTACAATTTTTTTTTAATATTCTATTGAATTGGGAAAACTTTGCTATTGGGTAAATTTATAAGTTGAGCCTAATGTTTTTCTTTAGGCTTTTTATTAAAAAGTTAAATATGTCAAATAATTAAGTCGAAGGTTGCCTCTTTCATGTTAATAGTACCAAAGTGCTCTCTATGTGGTCTTGACAACATGGCACTGTTAATACTCGGATATTTTGCATCTTTTGATAGAATCAGCCTATCTGAGCTACCACGAAAAAGTTTATCTTCCTCTCAAAAACATAACTCTAACCAACGAGTTTTGATGAAAAAAGGTTGCTGCGCGGGGAAACAAATCCATTCGCGCTCAACTAGAATCAGGGATATGGTGGGGTGTGACCTCTATACCTCTCTCTTTGTCAGCAAAATTATAAGTACTCTACACCATTGCCGCATATATTTTTCTCATTGATTTCTACGTTGTTTTTTTTTTGTTTATTTTTTTAAAATAGATAATAAATAAATAAAAGAAAATATCAACGGCATTTGCATTTTTCTTAAGATATTTCATGTAAAATATTTGAAAAACGTTTTTTTTTTTTTTTTAAATTATAATTTTTAAATAATTTTTTTAGTTCAAAAGCAACACTCTCTCGTAAGGTCCGGCGCATTTTGCAAGAGAAAAAAGAATACATTGAAACTGAAATTAAACCAAATAAGGTAAATAATTTGATTGAATTGCATTTTAAATTCATAATTTAAAGGTTTTTATATTTGTTGTTTATATTTATTTCAATATTAACTTAAAAAACCTAATTTACAGGCTAGATTGTATACGGAATATTTGAAACAAAGTGTGGCGGATCATGATTTGGAGTAATTTATTTTATATATTTATAGTTGTTTTTTTTTGAATTGAATAAATTTTTTGTTTACGATTATACACCAGACTCGTGCAAATTTATATTAGGCTATTTTAAATTTCAATAAATATTTTTCGAATCTTTAAAGTTGCGTTTATTTTAACTCTCCTATAACTCTATAGTAGAAATTCAATTTCTATAATACAGATAAATATAAACAAAACATTCAAAAAAATTTGAAAACTTTAAAGAGTTCTTACTACCTTAAATTATACTTAGGATGTCATATCTATTTAGAATTTTTACTTGAATTTAATTTTAATTACAAATTACTAAATTACTGAGTAATTAGTCAATCGTTAGGAAACATTAAAGAAGGACGAGGCCTTTTTATGTTAGAAAATTATGCATATAAACAAGTTTGCTTAACAAGTTTATAACTATATATTTTTAACAATAAAAATAGTTAGTGAAGGAAATAAAAACATTGTCATAGGATTTATCGTCTTTCGAGTGGTTCAACCAAACCGTTTCAAAATAATATTAGAAACCATAGCGTTCTCTAATACAGGCCTATTCATTGCGCAACATGATTTTTTTTGTGGAGGCCCACTTTTTTACGGCAAAAAAATTATTTCTCCACGTTCAGACCCCAGATACAATGCCATGTTGTTTATGATATATATTTAAATAATGGAATATAATACATTATTAATAAACTTGTATAATTTAAACATAGAGTTTCAATTTTAATTCAAAGCGAATAATATATTTATAAAATATAGATTAATTCATCATGCCAAATAAATGTTGTGTGTATGCTTGTCACACCAACTATTAAAGTGAAAAAAATATATATATATCTAGTGAAGTTAATAAAATATCAGTGTATCGGTTTCCAAGTGATAACGTTGAGCGTGAAAAATGGATAAAAGCTATTCCAAACTCTAATTTGGTTGTTACTAAGTATACTGTTATCTCTGAGTTACACTGGCCTCCAAATTTTAATACAGTTATAGTGCGTGAAGGAAAACGTCGACCAAAAAATCTCCTTCTGTTTGGCTGGCAATACCTTTATCTTAAATTCCAACTGCTAATCCGACTGAAAAAACTGCCAAAAGATCTTTTAGTGGCATTAGATGATGAGCTAGATACATTTCTTAAAAGAGATAAAGCTACTTTTTGTGACATTAAAAACAAGTTTATCAATAGCAGTAATCACCAATATCCAGTTACATTGTTATGGTTGATGGCTATGTTGTTATATAATCTTTACAATTTTTTAATGGAATACCTTTCTTTGTACTTAAAATTTATGAAAATCTTACCTTTGAAACATTTTATTATGGGATTAAGTGTCACATTTCTAGCTTAACAGTAAAACAAATCATAACTGTTGACACCTGGTCTAAGTTTGATGAGACTTTTAAGCTCTTTAAAAATTGACAATAAATTATGCAACATGTTTCAGTAGACAGTATCTTATGTAGTTCAGTAGACTTATGTGACAGTAATTATGCAACATGTTTCAGTTATGGGACCAAAATTAGTTGGAGATTAACTTTATACACCTGAAATACTTATACGCTTTTTTGTATATTTTTTAACATTAAGGGTATTATATAATTGCTTAAGAAATGATTATCAACTTCCATCTATTTCAACACTGACTTGAATTGGTTAAAATTTTCTAATATTAATGAAAACAAATTTATTTATTCAATTTTTAACTCTCTTCCGGATAAGCAGAAATTATATATCATACTACATGATGAAATATATGTTAAAAAAAGTTTGCTTTACCATGGAGGAACTATTTTTGGTAGATTGGAGGATAACCCAGTGGAATTGTCCAAAACATTGTTAGGGATTATGGCTGTTTGTTTAAATGCGGGTCCAAAGGTGTTAATTAAAATGATACCAATATCAAAATTACGATCTGATTTTTTATTTGAACAGATTAATTTAACTACTCAAGTAATTGATTCAGTCAGCAAATGTAAAAGCTATTATATGTGATCGGAATCGTGTCAATTAGGCTTTTTTTTAAATGTACACATTCGTTCAGGGAAAACCATGGTTAACAGTAGATAGAAAGTATTTATTTTATGATTTTGTAAACCTCATAAAAAATATTCGTAATCTTTGGTCGACTGAAAAAACTCAGGAAATAATATTTGACAATAACGGAGTAACCAGGATTGCAAAGTTAACCCATTTAAAGCAGCTTTACAATGCAGAATCCAGAAGCTTTTTTTTTAAAGTTATCTAACCTGAATAAAACTTCTATTTCTTTTAAACCTGTTGAACAACAGTGTGTATTGACGATTTTATAAGTATTTTCTAAAAAAACATACGCTGCTCTTTTGCAACATCCTAACATGATTCATTGATGTTAACGACACTGCTATATTTATCAATAAAATTATTACTTGGTGGAAAATTTTAAATGTCAAAGGCATTAGTGCTGATACAAAGCATAATGATCCTTTGCTGGCTGTTATCAACAATCCTGGTGACAACCGTTTAAATTTAATACTACAATTTGGTGATATGGCACTTAAAATGGTAGGTTCCAAAGGTAAGTGTATTAAACAGCTTTCTAAAGATACTGCAACTTGTATACATCAAACTTGTTATGGGCTAGTATATATATGTAGATATTTACTTAACATTACGCAAAACTATGTACTTCTTGGTCAATTTACTTCAGATCACCTAGAAAAAGAATATAGTATACTTCGTTAAGGTTCTGGCGGTACATATTTTCTTAGTGTTGAACAAGTTATTGAAAAATTACGTATCAAACATGCATCTTTACTTTTGAAGTTAAATGTAGATATTGACAATTTTAATATGAAGTCTGGTCATCAATGTACGTTATGTTTATATTAAGAAAATCTTTGAGTAGTATTTTTATGATTATATCATACTATTATTTATTGGATATGGAAGAACATCATTGTGTAATATTGAGCAACATTAAAAAAAGTTATGAGCCACTGTCACTCCAAGATCTGGCAAAGAACCTGCACTAAAATTATTAAAAATCTTTTAAAAGTCTACTTAGTTGTCTATTATTTATAATATATATAGTATACTATTTTATAAAAGATTTATAAAAATTTCATATAGTAGTTGTTGTTGTTTTTTTAGATTTTAATGACAATTTTAATTAAAATTTAACTAATATTTTTTGTTTGGTTTAATAATATTTCTACTCAATATAAGAAAATATCAATTTTTTATTTAACTGTTAAAGCCAAAACTTAAGGTGAAATAATATAATTATGTAAATGTGTGAAATTTGAAATTAGAAAAAATTTCTTTGCTTTTTATTTACATTGTTTATTACTTAAGGTTAATTTTCTTTTTTCATCAAAAAAAGGTTATACAGAGAATTAAAATTACTTTTTAGTTTTAAAATTACGAAGTTATTATCTTTTTTGCCGTAAAAAAGTCTCCACAAAAAAAATCCGGTTGTGCGATGAATAGGCCTGTAGAAGAGAATGCTATGTTAGAAACACAATTGTTAAAGTGAATAATAATTAGGGGTGTACCGGATCGAATTTTTGAATTCCGGCTGGAACTGGATTTGCCGGAATCGTTAAGAAAGTTCTTGCCGGATCGAAATTTATTTTTATGTAGTTTTTACCTTTTAAAGGTAAAAACTACATAAAAATAAATTTCATAAAAAAAACCAAGATTAAAATTTCATAAAAAAAACCAAGATTAAAAGTGAAAGCCTGAACATTAGCATCGTGGCTACATAATATATACTTATAACCTATAATATAATAACCTATAATACATTTTTGATGAAAAAAGAGCTTGTTTGTTGCCCAAAACTGCCCAATATTGTGGTGCAAATCTTTTTGCCCAACAATATTCCTAAACTTTTAGAAATCTTTACAAAAGTGTTACTGCAAATAAAATTAGTCAAAGCTTCAGATATGTGATCTAAAAAAATTTTATTTTATCACTTGTTGCGGCTTTTGCGTGGAGACTTGCTCTAAGTCAGGGGTAGCCAGACTTTTAAGGATACAGGCAAAAGTTAAAAAACAATTTTGCGGGCAAAAAATATTTATTTCTACAAAAATATAGATGGCTAATAAATATTATATTCATTTGTATAAAAGCAATATAATTATTAAGAGTGGTGAACTTGACCGTCTGAAACTAGTTTTTTGATGTCTGGATTGATTTTTGAGGTAGATAGAAATATCAAATTACCATGATGGTTGTCTCCAGCGGCGGTTAAGACTTCTTGGGGCCGGGGCTATTTTTGTTTTTGGAGGCCTTTTTATGGGCCAGAGCCTAAATATGACTAAAAAAAAAATCCTCTAAAAATTTTCGGGGCCCCTAAATTTGTGGGGCCCAGGGCTATAGCTCGCCTAGTTCCCTTTGATCCGGCACTGGTTGTCTCCTAAATATCCAAATTATTTTTAGCCCGCGGGCAGTGGTTTGGCCACTAAGTGGTGACTTTCTAATATAAATATAAAGAATATTTATTGGCTTTACTACGTACATCGGCTATCTTATAACCTGCTGCTATAAAGGAATGCTGCTACGTCCAATATCTTATAGCCTGCTGCTACGATGGTGTGTTGCTATACTGACTATCTTATATCCTGCTTCTACTTTGACTGACTGCCTTATAAGTCAATTTGGAAACAGGCTATAGCCTGTTTCCAAATTGACTTAAGATTTGGCATAAGGCAGCAATCTTTTTTCTTTTAATATTTTAATTAAAATTTTCTAATGTTTAAAAACTCTCCACTAACTAGCGAAAAGATAACATTATTTCATGAGTCAGTGGATTCAAATTTACACTCTGAGGTGTAAATTTGAATCCACTGACTCATGATAAATTTTCAAAAACTAAATTATTCTACGATCTGCTTTTTAAATGCCAGTAACAAACTTAATAGAGTAAGTAAAAGTTGAGTAACTGCGATAAATTTTTCTTTAAACATTTATTTTGAAACTTCTTTTTAGGCGGGAATTTTAAAACAAACGTATGTGATATTAACATGATCTTGAAATAACATCAACTACTTATTCAAATTTTATTAATTTGAGAAGACGTAATTTATCTATATCATGAATTGCTATAATGGGGAACGGACAAAAATGGCTTTTCATAT